CTCGGTATCAGTACTGGCCTTTCCCGCCGCACCGGCTAGCCAATTTCGCTGCTCCGACATCGGTGTCGCGCATCGTTCGCTCCGTGGCGTCTCGAGCGTAAAAGAAACGAAAAACTCGAACCAGAAACGAGCGTGTCAGGGAATCGACTATGGTACTCGACGGTCACGCCTAGCCACAAAGATCACATAGATACCGTATCACTGCTGAACGGTTCCAGTGTGATTGGACAGGTGATTCCCGTGGCAGATAAAAAGCTCCGTGACTCGTGATTGTCTCTGTTGAACCGAATGTGCGAGAGTAGATGATATTTCGGTGTTTCACTAAAATTTAATATCGACCGATGATATTAATGAAATTAATAAAATCGAGTTTGTTGGGTTAATAAAATTCAAGGTATTTCATTTTCAATTTATTTACTAATAATAAGTAATCTAAACTTAGATCACTATTTTAACCGGTGGCATAACGATACCAGCCTCATCTTGTGTTTCCTAGACACCAAAGGAATATATGGGAAAATTGTGATTTGGGAAAATTGTGATTTGCTAAATAGACAAACGTGGAAAGGTGAAAGTTATAGGTGATAAAAGAGAAGAAGTACGTCATCGTATATTCCGCACAGACGGAGGATATACGGCTGGACGTATCCTAAAAGCGTCCACAGACATATTGCTTAAAGCTCACAAACTAAGAACCTTAAATCTATTTAGTCCTTGGCCTATACTTTGTCATCCACTTCTCGGCACCTCTCGCCACGTTTCACAATAAGCCAAGGCTTTAACTCAAGCCCCGCTGCGACGAGAAACAGACTTTCTGGACCAGTGGTCTACGTATGCCACTTTATTACGAAATGAATCAACCCCCATCCGCTCTGTTAAATCTCGCTAAACCGTTAATCATCCCGTTCGATCGAAATCCAAATTCGACTAAGACCTCAGTACAGATCGAAGCATCTGTTCGTCCGACTGTACGAATTATTTATACGCCTTTTCAACGTGCATTTTAAACGTTACAACTATTATAACTAGACCGCGGATTTTTACGCGTTTGTGCGACATATAAAACCGCGAAAACGCGTGTAACGTTCATAGTAGAGTATTCGTCATAATTTTCAGTAGACATGACAAATTTCTATTCAAAATTCACTTTGTTAGTCGTGCTTGCAAAGACGCATTTAAACGTACAAGGACGGGACTGCGAGCAAAGTGTTTATTCGGTCGTAATTTCGTCTGAAATTCCAGCTGCAAATTTTAGGCAGGATGAAGTTCCACCGCATATATATTCCGACTCAGCAGTGCTCTGAGAAAAAGATACAAGGAATCTTGATTGAAAAACCGCGAAGCCGGGGGATGACTTAGGAGTTTAATAAGAAAGCGTCAAGCGGGAATTTAATACAGTTTAGCGGTATTATTTATAGCGGCCATCTTATTACGATTCCAACCGGCTTTTCCCGCCTCTGTTCTCCCTTTTTCCTCTCCCGCTCCTTCACTCATCTCGCATTCTCCCTCCGGCAAACCGGATTCGATAAAATAACTTTTTCTCCTTCTTTCGCGACGTACAAGAGCAAATGACCGCGATATTGCGGATGACTTCCGAAACTCTCCCATTCGTCTCATCGTAATTTATCCCAACTTTTCATCCCCTTCTTATGTTCCTTCAGACAGACGTCCCGAACGTGACGGGAAAACGGCATGCGTCCGCGTGCGCAAAGCCAGTCACGTGTATCCGTTGAAAGGAAACCTCTGCCCGGTGAACAACCTTTCGTCCCTGGCCAATCGAAGGTCGCACGATTCTTCATCCTTACGTACTCTATGATCGGGGTTACCCTTTGCAACGAGACCCGAAATTTACAGAGTCGACGCGTTTTAAATTTTCCCCGGCGAACTTCTGCCCGTTTCACCATCGCTTTTTCCCCTTCTTTTTCACCTCGCACCTCCCGCGCTCTTCCTTTTCCTTCTCGGATCGAAAAGAGGAATTTCCTTGTCCCTCAAGTATCGTGACTACCCGGAAAAGGTTTCCATCGATGCTCCGTCATAGAAATAAAGTGTGGTATTTTTTTAAAAGCAAATGGAAAAATGTTGTGCCACGTATTATGATGTTACATACTATGTACGTAGTCACATCTATAAGATGAATGTTCAACATTATATCCGTAATAAACAGTTTTCCATTCTTGAAAAGGTGAAAAATGAGAGTCGAACGCTCGGTCACGCAAATTTTCAATTCAAGTCGAAGTAAGAAAATAAATTGAAATTTACGTTTCCCTTCTCCGACACTTAAAGAGGGAGTAAGTCGACAATAACTAAAACGAGGAACGCGCGTAAAGCGCGTAACATCGCGTGTTTTCAAGAAACAACGTCCATTCAAGAATTCCCTCGATTACGTAACGCCTAATCCCTTGCGTTGCCCTTTCTCCCTCGGGAACCCGAGCGTCAATGGAAGCCCACGCTGAAACTCGGCAACACACTGCCCGGTGTGTTGTCGTTCTTCATGCACAAGCATCGTTAACGACGCGCCTGCAAACGTCCCGCTGGAAAATGGAAAAAATGTCATCTAGATGCAAATGGCGGGGGCCAGATTACGGCGCGGAAGGGGAGAAAAATGCGCAGACGGTTCGATGTACTCGGCGACGCTGTGTTTGCTATCTCGTTACCGTGCCTGACAGTGATAAACTCGCCGGTGTACGCGGCGTACGCGAAGGCAGCAAGGTCACGCGAGGGGGTGGCCGCTGCTCTCGCACGCAGCCGTGGCCTGCACGGAGTCACGATGCCCTCGCCGCGATTCTACGCACGGACACCCGCCAACCACCCACCAACCCACCCGCTCCGCGCAACCCCTTCTCATTCAAACCCGTGAAACGCCGGTGTAGATAGTTTTTGCGGAATGCGACCGAACAATGGCCATGAATGACACCGGAATAAACGGTGTTCTCAAACGTTCATCGCTGTGTTACGTGCGCGCCTTTGAATCGACCGCTTTCTCTCCTGTGTTTCTCGCCGCCCCCTCGCAGCAGTCCATCCTCGCATCCTTCTCTCTCTCTCTCTCTCTCTCTCTCTCTCGCGAAGCTGTTGTTCGGAACCGTTACCGCGTGATCTTTCAAGATGAAGCTTGTATTCTGTAGTGTACACTTGGTGTGCGGTTTGTTAGAGTCGACAATGGCTTTTGTAGTTATATCGAGCTGTTGACGTAAAATGGATGGTTGCCCGCTTCGCATCGTCGACGACGAGATAAAAGTTTTATCGTTAATGACGTAATTTCGGAGAGAGGAATCGAACGTTCGTAAAGTTTCGCGGGTATCTTGCGAAATATCGGATAAGTGCTTCCCGGATGAAGACGCAAGGCGAGGCGAATTTCCTTGAATTTCCTATGCCATTGATACTTGCGATGTAATTACTGTAAAAGGTCGGCTGATAAATTTTTTTTTATTATATATAAGCGGCAAATAAACAAAAGGAAACGAAAGAAAAGAAAGAGACAAAGATAAATAGAAATCGCTACCATCTGAAAATATCAAAACGTCGGTATATCCGTTCGTTTTCTCAATTAACCCGGGCACTTTTCCTAATCCTCGCTTCCCCTTCGGGGATTCAGCTGAAAGTTTTGTTAGCGCAAATAACGAAGTCTAGATTTCAGCCGAAAGACGCGATTAATTATTCGACGCTCGATCGAAACTTTCGGCTTCGCTCCGAAGGTTTGACGAGCTCGCAGATTTCACAGTCGCGCCACGCCCGGATTCGTTAACATTTCATTTAATCCTCCCGCGCTGCGTCCGCGCTACATTCACAGTCCATTATGGACGCGAGCGAGTGAAATTAACGTTCATCAACAATTTAAAGCATCCACCGACCTTTATCGTTTTAAACGCCGTGTAGGAGAATTTTTTCTTTTTTTTTTTTTCAAATTGCACGAATCCGCGAATTTTATTTCCACGTATTTCGCCGGTCGCGATCGTTCCGAAACACGAACGCGACATTTTTCAAGACGACGACGACGACGACGACGACAACGAGGACTCAAAGAAAAAAAGATTCTCAGCCATCCGGGATAGGAAAAGCATTTCCTTGCTCTTATTTAAGGATTCAAAGGCAGTTTCGAAACGCGAAATGCGATGAATATTTCAGGGGATTGGGAGAGAGCGGCAGCTATTAAATTGTACACGCGATTCGCTCAAAGTCTGGCGAACACTTCCTTTGACAAGCAGCTCGACTCTGCTACGTAGCCGATATGTTTCTAGTTCACGTTACAAAGTTGCACGGTGAAATTACGCTCGCGCTTCTCGACGCTCGAGAAGGTTGGTCGGAAAAGAACTCGCGGAGGATCAGGGGTGAAAGGTCAGCATCTGGCGGTATTACAGCTATTTCCGCGAATAGATTGCCGAGTGATACATCGAACTCGGTGTTTTCGTCCGTGAAATTTCGCTGTTTGATTTCGACTCGCGAACAGCGTATAGGTAATCAAACTACGCAAACAGACAATGGTACAAACATCGCGCAAACAAATAGCGCAAGTCATACAGCGTTCTCCAACTTGTGTTATACCTGTTTCGCGAAGACAAATATCGAAGAGCAGCCGAATGTGAAAACACGGGGTATTAAGTTAAACTTAAAGCATACATTCGTGCGCACGACATCCGCCCATACAGTAGAGTAACAATAATTCCTTCAATTATGTAACCTCGAACACTTCATAGGATTCGTACCGGTAGATAGTTAATGGTAATCGAATGATCACAGATCCCTATTATTTCGTACTGTGAAATAGCGACAGGACGCGAATCTCTAAAATTCATATGTAACAAATTCACATTTATCCCAGGCAATCTCGGTTCGTAATCGAACTAGATCGTCACGTGTATCCACATCATGCCGATCGTGCCAAATCTCTCAACGTTTCTCTGTTCGATCAACAGATTCAGAAACACTCGAAGCAAAAAAAAAAAAAAGGGAATAGGTAATTTCGTCGTGATTTGCATGCTGGCGGTCGCGTGACCAAGACCTACCCTGATGGGGACTGTAGTCCGATCGTCGACGAGCTCGAGCGTCCGGAGATCCTGAGGGACCCTCCGGCAGAGGCGAGACGACGTCCGACGAGCCTCGCCTCGACCCAACGCCGGACGAGTGTTCCGAGTCCCTGCGATGCCTGGCCACATGGGGCGAATCCTGCGGGGTTCCGTGACCGGAACTCATTGGCGTTCTCAGCGGAGAACCGTGCGAGGAATACGGAGAGCCGGGAGGCTGTATCTTCTCGACGCCTTCAACCGAATATTCGCGTGAACGATTGACCACCGTGCGACTGGCGAGCACCGCTTGATCGCCGATCGCAAAGACCGCCGGAGAAACGGGACGAACACGGATGATTTCGAAGAATCGATCGTATACCGAGCTTTCAATCGACGAAGTCTCGGTCGGTCTCGCGTTTCGGACTTCGCTCGTGTTTTTTCTACGTCAGAGGTACGATCTTTCGCGAGCTGCGTGATTAAAAAACTGATACGTGCAGCGAGTAGAAAATTTATGCTTTTGGGAGAAAAATCGAAAGCAACAAGACGTCGTGTCTGCATTTTTTTTCTTTTCTTTTCTTTCTTTTTGTTTTAAATAGTTCGAGGCAATTCTACGATATCGCTGCAAATATTGGAAATCTTTGGAAAGAGGTAGAAATCACACGAATCGAAATCTGGTCAATAAGACGAACGTTCGAAGTACAGCGATGTTTTCATTGGTAAGGAACTACTTCACAGTGTCCGCTCGTCTACTTCTACCGATTTCGAGTGAAGCGATCGAGACGAAAATGCATCCACGTGCATTTGCTAAATTTGTTCCAATCCATTTTCCAATATAATGCCGAGTTGGGTGAAAATTTTATACAATTTATATATCGTCCATCTATGAATTTTGCATCGGCGGAGTTGCATCCGCTATTTCACTTTTTCGTTAAAACGAGGCGAATTGATTGGAAATCGAGTGGCTAGAATTTGCAAACAGAATACGAGACAACGAAGGGACAGGCAGGTTCAAACGTGAGACCTCTCGTACGTGGCCACGGCGACTCGATAACCGGCGCATCGCTACGAAGCTAATGGCGAAGCTTGGCTTTCATATCAACGGGAAAAATAAAAAAATTAAAAAACAAAAAAAAAAGGAGCTGCAATTTCATTTCCCTGCCCCGAGCGTGTTGCCGCGCTGACTTTTAGAATAATTGAAACCGACCGAAACGCGTGTAACGCTGAGTAAGCTTTGAGGTGATCCCTTTCAGTCGAGATTGCCTCTATGACCCCGTGATCTCCGCTATATTTTTTATTTTTCTCTTTCCCCTTTCCTCCCCCCCCCCTTTTTTTGCAAATATGCTTCAACCACAAAAAAATAGTCAGCCTAGTCGAAACGATCAAGCGCTGACGTGTAATTTTCTTGTGGCTCCACTGCGCTCGACAGGGTTTTAATCAAAATCGAAACTGTTCGCTGTTTCTCGTTTTTTTTCTTTCTTTCCTTTCTTTTTTTCCATTTTTTATTTTTGTCCAGTGATTTTACGAAAGGATAGTTACAAAGTGAAACGTAAAAATGGAATGGTTTCCGGATGGAAATATTCGGCCATTTATTCAAAGACGATCCCCCCAAAATCGACGGACACGGTTTGTTTGGCGAGGTTTTAATCGCGGACAGGTCGAACGCGTCGTATTTCATCTGTACAACCGGTTCAATTACTCGACGCAACGTACACCGCGGGATCAATGAGCGTCCGATGACGAATTTCGCGGATATCGTGTGCCGCGGGAACTCCGATCAGTTCCTCCAATATCAAACAATCGTAAAACACACCGCATCGAAACGAGAACCTATGTACATCGAGACACTTTCTCCTCGTCGTGCTTGAGCAAACGCGTTGCAGGGTACAAGAAAGGTACGGTACGTGTAATTTCTCATGAAAATGCGAATCTACCGAGAGAGATTGGCGGAGTTCTCTTTAAGAACGGTCTGGAAAAGAAAGAAAACGAGGAAGAACGTAGAGAGGAAGAAATTTCCTTCGAGTTTCACCTCATTTTCCCCTCAAAGACGTCAGCGCGGCTCACGCTGCAATTTTATCCATTCCTCATACGTCTCCGCCGGCGTCTCCACTCTCGATAATTAGATTTCGTTCCTCGTACGACCGGCACCACCGGCAAAACGAATCGATCCGTATCACCAAGTCAGCGCTGAACACGACTCGGTTCGTTCCGAGTGCAACTCAAACAGTGTTCGAAAATACGTCGATGATTCGCCGGGAAGTGGAGAGAGGAAAGAGAAAGGAAACGGAATGAGAGAGGGAGAGAGAAGAATGGACAAAAGAGTAAGAACAAAAGAGAGATCACTTCGTACGAGACAGTCGGACGATCGATTCTCCGCTTGAATTGTAAAACGGAACGGTAAGTCTAATAATTAATGATGATACGAAGTAGCAAAGTGTCGCGATCAAACACGATCGAGTCGTAGAACGAAGCGTGTCTTATCATTCGATATCGATTGACCGGCGATCTTTCTTCGCGGCAAGGTTTTCGCGGTTTCGAGGCGACCGGCTTGATACCTTGGTGCACGACCGGCGAGTGATGAGAAATTCCGGACAGGACCGACTGGTGTGTAGGCGGAGAATGAACGAGACCGGCTGGGCCAAGTGGGTTGACGAACCCGTGGATCGGATTCCCGTGCATGGGATTGCCGTGGATAGAGCGCGATGGTACCATTCCAGGCAAAGGTATCCCCCTGGTTTGTACCTCGTGAGAGGATGGGATGGACGTGTTCGTGGCCGGATGACCAGGAACCGGGCTGCCAGTATGTATAGAGCCTCTCCGGTGCTGCGACATAATTGGAATTCGATGACTGCGACGAGGACGAGGACACGACCAATAACTACTCCAGCCAAACTGAAGGGTGGTGGACCTTAATGTCCGCAGAAGATCCACGACATTTGTACGATCGAATCCAGTGATTGAGCTCGTGGTACTTGCTCTTCTTCGTGCACGATATCGAGCAAAGCTTTCCGCGATCGAGCGACTCGTCCAGCCGTTTCAACGCTCGAACGCCGGTTCCACCATTGATTTGTAGGGTCTTTGCAACTACACGCAAGCTCCGTGCGAGTCTATTAAAAATCGTATCGTCGAAGATAATCCCACCAATAGGGGATAGTATCGGGAAATTGGTCGTGATCGTTAGAGAAACGTAGCGATTCCTGTGATGATTTGATCCCTTAGAACGACGACTGACAACGCGATTCAGAGGTAGCTCATTGAGAGGTACAGGCCAGCTTCCGTGTACCACGATTATCGCGCATCCATCCGCAAGAATAATTGACGCGGTACTGCCTGCAGGATGATGGTCCCTGGTGTGACGCGAATTTCACGCAGCCTGCATGCGGAGATTTATCGCGAAGCGTTCACAAACCCTCGCAGAGTGGATCATACATGGACTAAAAAGTGGAGCATATATCTTGCCCGCTGTTGGATCAGGTTGGTATAAAAACTTGCGTAAAAATCGATATTACTGATATGTGTCGAGTAAATTTCCTGCTCGGCGAACGAACAGAAAGGAGAACGAGCAGCGTACAACGATAATCTCCGATTATTCTTGCCTCTTCCGTTCGACTTTCAGCGAACTAGAAACAAGGTACCCAGCTTATCAATATTCGACGCGGAAAACTCGCGTGCAACTTCTTTGAGTATCTCTTCAAAATACACCGGCCATTCTCTCCTCTCTGTGGAACTACGCTAAGCTTTCTTTCGAAGCTGTTTGCCGGGGCGTCGAGTGGTCTCTGAAAAAACCCACCACCGTTTGCGATCGTTCAACGCCGCGAGAGCCTTTCGTTCCCTGGAGTCTTTGCAGACAGACACGTGACTCGGGACAAAAATCTTCACTCTACGCGTCAAACGGACCGAATTACTCTTTAACTCGACGGAATTCGTAACCGTGTCGCGACTCGCTTTGTGCATCAATTATTAACGAAAACAGCGCACGCGTTTTAGAGTTGGCACGTGTCGACACTTCTCTCTCCCTCTCTTTCTGCGTGTGTATGTGCCTCTCGGCGTCGATTGTTCTGGTCCCGAGTGCAAATGCACTTCAATTCCGTGGAACGTTTCGTTACTATCTCTACGTGCGAGGGCCAAGCCAGCCTCCTCGCCGAGTCGGAAAAGTTTCCCTTATCACTGATGCTGTTCGTTTATCCGACGATCAACTCGCCCCGATTAACACCGGAACGGAAACTTTCTTCACAGCCGTGGTTCCGCTGGTCGCCGTGACCTTGCTACTTTCGACTTGTTGATTTAAGACACTTGTTGGTTTGCACGTCGTTATCACGGTCACTGGCTGATATGTGTTTCGACAAGGTCCGTCAATAGCAAAACTTGCTGTACGTTTGAAAAGAATCGACCAACACGATACAGGACAGATGCGAGGACGAAGGATATCGCACTAGCGCACATCGATCGATGAACACGCAAGTAATCCACCTTCCCTTCTCAGCGATTCGAGCACTCGCACCAAAAAAAAGGTGATGACGTTTTCGAAGAAAGTCAAACGAAGCAAACTCGCGAAACGAGAAACGACGGTGCTAGATTATCCACAGGTGGAGTCATCGACACACGTCTTCCGATGAAGCGCACTTTTTACGCGACAAAGTCCACGTGTCGGGCGGCGCGACAAAAACCGAACTAGCGAGCCTGCTTTGCGTTTCCCACGTTACGGCTGGTGAACGCGTCGTTGCACCCCGCGTATTCCACGCGTTTTCACGCAGCCCGTTTGAAAACCAAGGGGAATGAATCGCCCGGATAACACCGTGTCACGGGCACGCGAGAATCGTACGCGAGTACTGGTGCAGGCCACGTGAAACGCACGATCGTCCTCAATCGACGAGACGAGCGTTCCTGTAGCTTCCGCGAGCACGTTTTTGGCGGCGGTTGCGAGAGCGTCGCGACGCCGTCAGCGTCGGGGTGAATCGTTCGTGTGCGACAGGGAGCGGCCGCGCGAACACTGGAACCAACCCATGCCTCCTCCACCACCGGCAACACAACCACCATCGACGATGCCGCACCCTCTCCTCCATCACCACCACTACCACCGCCGCCACCTCCACCACCGCCATCGCCACCACCACCACCACCACCACCGATGCCGCTACTACTACTACAACTACTACTACTACTAGTAGTACTACTACTACTGCTACCACCAACGTCGTTGTCCTTGTCACAGCTATGTTGCGCCACTACCACCCTCGCTCTCTCTCTCTCCCTCTCTCTCTCTATCCACTACCACCACCTTCTTCTACCATCACGCTATCACCGACCACCATCCTTACAACTACCATCAGTGGAGGACTCCACCATCGGCGCAACCGAGCACCGGATTCTCTCCCTTCAACCACTATCCATTGCCACCAGAGCAGCCTGGCGGCACCCCGTTTCTCTTGTGTAGGTGGAATAACCCCTCGTCTATCCCCTCGGCTACCGGTGCACCAGGTAGATACTCACGACGGTACTACTATTCATCCCCTTCTCTGCTTCTTCTTCTTCTACCGCTCTCCACCTTCGAACTCTGCCATCCTCCCTCCAATATACACACCGTCGTCGTCGTCGTCGTCTCCACTCCCTTTCTCTTTTACCTTCCCATCCGTTCCTACCCCTCCTGCCCCAACCAACAACCACCAAGGAACCTCTCTCTCTCTCTTTCTCTCTCGGTCTCTCTCGGTCTCTCTCGCTCTTCCACACTATTCCCATACTATCCGTGCCTCTTTCTTTTCGCTTTTCGCAGGGGCACGTCGAAAAGCTCGCGTGGCAGCCCGGTTGGCTGGTGCACGCGTCTCTCCTCTCTAGGGCAGCGTACGCGCGCGTACGATACACGCGAGCGAGCATACTCGCGCAGTCCTGCGCGCGTCCTACACACGAGCGCGTCAGGCGTGCGTAATTACTCGTCCGCGTCGTTGCACTCACGACGATACCAACCGCAACGACGACCACGACGACGACTGTATGTTAATGAACGCCAAGCTTACACCAGTTTCTCGCTCTCCGCCGACGCTGCCGCCGGTCGATAGACTTTCGTAAAGTAGTACCGCGTGCGAGTTACAATGTCTCTCGTCGTAACGAGCACGATCGACGGATACAACCGACGATCGCGCGGCCAACAGATACATATTTCGTACGATTTTCTCCTCACGATGCCAACCGTTAATTGTCGCGGTAAATACGAGCGGTTTCATCTCGGGGAATCCAGTTCCGCTCCTCTTTGTCGCTCGACAGTTTGCACATAGTTTAGTTTATCTGGCGATCGTCGAACGAAACGCGTACCACGTGACAGCTCGTTGAATTGAAAAACAAACGTGAGATTGGACACGCAGGTGAAAATTAATATACGTGTTTCTAATTGATTATCAGTTCTCAGGCACATCAGAAGATTAACAGAGACAAAGGTTAGATCGTTTTAATTTTTTTAATTTTATCGCTTTACGCTTTAGCGAGCATTGCACCAAGGAGCAAAAGCTGAGGCAATTAATTTTTTGATATAAAAACCAAGCAATTGGTATTTCACGTCGAGAACAAGTAATTATTAAAATACATTCTTCCTCTTTTGCTGTAATTAAAATTAGAATTTGCTGAGAAGTCATTTCAAGATGAAGGAGGAACGAAGAAACAATTAAAATATCGCCGTCGGTTGTATATTAAAACAATATCCCATCAAATTTAATCAATAAATTTTAGGACAGCTACATTTGCAAGGATTTCTTTATTAAATGTACGCCGGATTAATTTCCCTCTTTGGCTCGCTTCGTCGCCATCCTCGCCGCCTCGATGTAATCGAACATTTACACGGTGAACACGCGGAGTTAATACGGATAAACCAGCGGGCGAATTATCCGATACGTGAATTATCGCGGCGAAAGTTAATCAACGGCGAATTAAAGAAACGACCGCAAAGTGGCCGAACGTTGTATCGATGGTGGATCGGTATCGATAGAACGCGCGAACATACCTAATAATCCTGTACGCAAACTGCAATTAACGAGCAGAAAGTTCAATTCGCTCGGCGATCCACGCGGGGGCGCGCGATTAATCGTCGTAACCAGCCGGTCGGATATTAAATTCCACGGGCAACTGGGCGACAAAAGTAACTGTTGCGTGTGTGTGTGTGTGTGTGTGTGTGTGTGTGTGTGTGTGTGGGCGCGAGAGCAAACTCGGAAGGAGAAAAACAGAAAAGGAGAAAAAAAAAGAAAGGAAATGAACGAAAAGAGGGTGGAAGGTGGGAAAAATGGAGCACGCGTGACTATCGATTGACGGAGAAACGCGGATAGCAGGTTGAAAAAGCGCCATTTCGCGGTTGTCGAAGCTGATTTCCGCGGGCAATCGGGAAACGCTGCGATCCGTTCGACGATCTGCTCGCCTTTCCCATCGGCAGACGCTGGTAAAGTCCCAACAAGGAGAAAAAGAACGACGACGACGACGATTATGACGACGACGACGATGATGATGGTATTCCTTTTGATAATATCCTTTTACGGAATAGCGCTGGAATATTTCGACCTGGAGAGGCGAGGTTACGGCGAATCGATCGACTGTTAGTCGCACGCATTAGTCTCAAAAAAAAAACCGCACGCGATGGTTATCAAGCAAAGTTCGATAGGTTTCAACTATCTCAATTCGATGACCATTGACTTTTTCTATGATAACCATATATAAAATCGGAAAAGTTCCACGAGATTACACTGAAACGTTGGATCTCCTGAATAGGCGATTTATTCCGGAAATTTTATTTTATTCAGTTGGAATTTGAATAAGTAATTCAAACGTTTTTTTTTTTTTTTATTATTTATTACACTCGGCCGTGGTATTTTTTGTAAAAAGTTACTCGTAACTATCCTGTTATCGGACTAATCAACAAAAAAATAATTGCGTTTTCGATGTGTGTCTTAACTAACTTGATTTTAAACCGCAGATTCATTACGTGATCTGACATCTGAGTATATAAGCTTGTTTTGGAGAAAGAAAAGGCATGAAAATGGAAAGTAAAAAACAAACGCTTTGCTGCACTACTTCTGAAAAGGGGAAAAAGACGCTGCAGCTCATAAAAAAAATTATCTGGCGTGTATTGCGAAGAGGACTTGAAAACTGCGCCGGTGTCAGAATCGGTTTGGTAAATTTCAATGCTGATGAGGACATCAAATCGTGCGTGGAACTGTGTTTTTATCGAAAAAGATGAGAACTATTTTGAAACTGCACGAAAGGTGGCAAAAGGTACTCGAACAAAATGCTCAATATGTACATTAATGAAATTTTTGTTTGTTCAAAAATTTATTCGCACACGAAAAAACCGCAGTTACTTTTTGGCCAACCTAGCATTTTCTGCTACCATACCAGCTTCTCAAATTTATCGATTATATTTGAAATGTTTCCCATTCATATCACTGCACGTTTCAAATTGAAGTCCTCCTGTCGCGCTTCGCGCTTTAATTGACAATATAGAATAACGCCCCCGACATCTCCGCTGCTTTCCAATGCAACGATTCACAAAGTGTCGTCGCGTATCAAAGAACTCGATAAGTACACACACGCTGGCAATTTCTCTTATCCCATTGTTGCAACGTGATTTACGCGTTCCCGTGTGCCGCGAGCGCAGTAGTTTCATTGAAAGGAG